AATGGACAAGTGATAGTTTGTTACTGTGTGTGTGTGTGTGTGTGTGTGTGTGTGTGTGTGTGTATGCGCCGCATTGTCTATGTCAATATTGAGCTGGCACTGGGAAAACATGTATCTCATTGTCCCGTCCACGTGCTTGGCCCTCACATGTAGCCACAGATTGGGGCTGTGGGTTATTGACAAGGCTCTCCATTATTGAGTGTTATTGTGCTGCTGTCCAATTTCCTGCCACACCTTTACATGCTATCAGACAGGTCAGGTTAGCTTGCCATTCGTCTTTCAGTCACAGCTATAGTCAGCCTACATCTGTTTTTCCTTTCCGACTGCTCTTTCAAAACACAGAGTTTGTTATCTTGCAAACGAGAGACGTTAGTAACAAATGGTGAGAAGGTAAAACTTTAATGATCCCTATAGGGAGATCCAGTAATTGAATAAACATACAACCAACAACTATTTTCATAATTTATTAATTGGACAATTATTTTCTAGATTAATTGTTTTTTCTATTTAATGTCCATAAATAGTGAAAAAAAAAACATTATAACTTCCCAGCGCCTGAGGTAACAAGTGCTTGTTTTATTACTGCAGTATGTTCACTTTGCTATCATATAAAAGCCACCCTCCAACTAAACAGAAAAGCAGCAAATTCGCACATTTGAAAAGCTGTAACCAGAAACATTTGAATTGATTATCTAAATAGTTTGCAATTCATATTCTGTCCAATTATTTCAGCTCTGTCAACTCGAACACATATGACTCAAACTATGAAAAGGTCATACACATAACAGAGGAAATAATGCTGAAAAACCACAAAACAGAAAACAGAAATTAACCAAAACATGAACATACCAAAAGCGAATGTGTGAAATGTGAAATATCCAAAAGGAATGGCACAAACTCTACTAACAAAAGATGATGTGTCACCGTGTTCTCTTTGTGTACCTCCACTTTCTGTAGCTAAAAAATAAATTTATGAAGAAGATTCCCAGAGATGCAGAGGCATCCAACGTCTTGGTTGGAGAAGTGGATTTCCTCAACAAACCCTTTGTAGCCTTTGTCCGCCTGGCCCAGGCTACAACACTAGGAGGTCTGACTGAGGTCCCTGTTCCCACCAGGTGAAATGATCTTCAATGTTTTTCGCTTCATCATCCTCACTCAACAAAGCCCCTTTCGCACTCACTCCACATACCTCACATTTGTCTTATCACTGTACAGATTCCTGTTTATTCTTTTGGGACCTCAAGGAAAGGCCAAGTCCTATAATGAGATCGGCCGAGCCATAGCAACCTTAATGGTGGATGATGTAAGTGTCTGTCATTGTGTTTTTAAAATGTTTCTGTGACATGCCTCCTTTATTAGACACAGTCTCAGTAAACATGT